GGCTTCTTTCCCCTCTCCCGATCTGGCTAATCTACATGCCTCCGTCGAAGGAGGCATGTAGTCTAGACACACCCATAGTGTGATGTTCCCAAAGTTTTCATGCCAAAACTAAAAGCAGGAAAACTGACTAAATAAAAACACCTTCTTCTAAAGGTGCATCACTACAAAATGCAATACTACTGAATTCAGTTATTGAATCATTGCATTGCTTTTTTGCATTATGGGCACGTATTTTGCTACATAAACAATAACGTTAAGCTACACATTTAACCAAAAATATGGGAATAAAATATCCAGTGAGGCTGAATAAACTTTTATGATAGAACCTTAATTTATACATTTCCTCCTTCTTTGTATTTTAAATGTGCATCCTTTATGCTACAGAGACACAGGTTTTGCATTTGACATAATAAGATTTTCCATTTACCTGCCTGTGCTCAATACACTTAGCACTTAAGTGCACTGGATTATGTTTTCATGCTCACACATCATCCAGGAGAACTGAATTCCCTCATTTGTACTGCTCTGGTTGGCTCAGATACAATTTCCCATTAGATTGGGTTAACAGGGCTGCATTACATTGGTTAAGAACATTCTTCTTGTATCTTCACAACTGAATATAAAAGATCTATTTTGGCCACGAAAGCCTAGAATTTGCAGAATTAGGCCATATCTGTGGCAATTGTCACTCACTACATATTCTGCCACTGACAAATAGAATGGCAGCACATTGGAATGCAGAACCTCGAAGTATGTACAATTAATGTCCTAGCACAAAGAGAAGGACGACAAATGGATAACCTCCCCTACCATGGGGTAGGTTGGTGCCATTAAATGAGGTGGATCCAGTGTTCCTGTGCCAGAGCAAGGGTTACATTTGAGCAATCAAATAAGAAGGGTCTGCACCTGGGAGTTACAATGGATCAGAGAAAGAGCCTGGAAGATTAAAAACCTGTGACTTTTCCAGGCTTGTGTCGTTTAACCTCGGTGTAGATGTTCAGGCTAGGGCAGGGACCCAGGTCTTAGAATACTGCATGGGGAGGGAAGGTTTCTGGTGTCTATGCCACAATTAAACAGCTCCTTAGCCCAACTGGTCTCAGCTTGCATGGGCCATCTGTGACTAATTGCAGTGCAGACATACCTAGAGAAACAGGCTGGTTCACTGAGGGACAGATCAAAATTACCAGTAATGGGAGACTGGTGGAGGTCCTAGATGGAAGGAAGTAGGTGTTTCCTGGGGGAAGGCTGAAGTTAAGGAGAGCAGCAATGGGTTTACTAGTTCTCATGTTCAACCTGTAAGGCCAAAGGTATGAAGGCAGGAAGAGCTGCAGAGAGAGTTGCTTGCTGGCTTTAACCCCAATCCCTGGAGCCCAGATCTTGAGAGGGCTGAAGGGGTGGGGCAGAGGATTTTAGCTACGGACATCTCCAAGGTTGGAGAGCTGGACCTAGAGGAACCATGGGAGAGTGGGGGATAGTCCCTTGCATTTGGGAGGGTTGAAGTGGCTGTCCTGGTACAAGACAGGGGAGGATTAACAGAGCCTGGGTGTGGTCAAAGGTGCTAGTGTGTGACATGTGAGTCATCCAGGGATAAGATGTCTTGAGCTTTCCTTACTGCTTGCACTGGGATGAGAAGTGGATTATGCTTGGGACATATGTTTTGGACCACTTGCATGTGGTTATATAATAAACCAATACCCAGGAGGGTATTATTATATCAAGAAAGCCTGAAGTGACTGTGGCTGTTGACAGGGGAAACTGAGGCAGGTGTGACTACCATGTTGTGGCCTGCTATGGGGAGCTGCTCTGGGCAGGAGCTGAACTATGACAAGCCCTTATATGAATGTATGGCTTAATTAGTTTCAGTTGGGACTGGTATACAGTTCCTTTGATATTAATTACTTCAGAAGGTATCCTTACATTTGCTGAAACATCTTCTGTTCACTGGAAGATAAAATGTGCACAAAGATGTTTTTGGAGCGTGTTCATTATGAAACCGGAACAGTATTTTACATTCATGATTCAACTCTATGTGATCCTAAGGAGGTTTAAATACAGCTCTCTATGCTGATGAACTACTTCCTTTAATCAAAAGCAACTTAACAACCATGCACCTGAAACAGCCGTAGTCAAGGGCACTTGTAATTAATAGCCACTATTTGTGCACTCAATAGCTCATATAGCAGAGAAATATTTTCAACAGTATTTCAAGTCGCAAATCCTGGTTCACAGCCTGTTTTCTCGGGCTGTTCAGAGGCTAAACTGCTGAGCAGCTCTTTAGGGTTAATAGACTACCCTCACACAGGGGAAGCCATGGAACACCCAGACAACACTTCTGCAGGAACTATGATTCCTAAAGTAGAATCCACAGCCCAATTTGTGGCCCTTGCCCCTGGTATCAGACCAGAGGGATTCATAGAGTTGTGGCTCAACTAGCTACATCCTGCTCCTAGGTTATTAACCTAGGAAGGAGAAAATTTGTTCCTCTTGGTTTCTGAGGACAGGACAAGGAGTAATGGGCTTAAAGTGCAGCAGGGGAGGTTTATATTGGACATTAGGAAAAAATTCCTAACTGTCAGGGTGGTCAAATATTGGAATAAATTGCCAAGGGAGGTGGTGGAATCTCCCTCTCTGGAGATATTTAAGAACAGGTTAGATAGACATCTGTCAGGGATGGTGTAGACGGAGCGTGGTCCTGCCTTGAGGGCGGGGGGCTGGACTCGATGACCTCTTGAGGTCCCTTCCAGTCCTATTATTCTATGATTCTATGATTCTATCTGCCATGCTTCTGATCCCTTGCTGTGGGAATGCCCCTTCAAGCTTAAGTGGATGAAAATAAGGGGTGCTTGCCAATTTGGTGGTCATTGCAATGTGTGCTAAAATCATTGCTTCAATTTTACATACTCTTGTGGATGATGGGGTATGCCCAAGGAAGGTGACGAGAGAAGAAATGCAATTGCGCCTATGCTGCAATTAAAAAAATGAACGTGTGTGTGAGATCAGTAGAGCTGGGTGCATCCCTGGTTCTACTTATCCTCATTCCAATAAATGCCCTTACATAGACTTGGCCATTATCTTTGAAAAGTCGTGGAGGTCAGGAGAAATCCTGGATGATTAGTAAAAGGCAAATGTAGTGCCCATCTTCAAAAAAGGGAAGAAGGACAATCCAGGGAGCTATAGGCCGGCCACTCTTACCCCGGTTCCTGGAAAAATCATGGAAGGGATCCTTACGGAATCCATTTTGAGGCACTTGGAAGAGAGGAAAGTGATTAGGAATAGTCAGCATGGATTCACAAAGGGCAAGTCGTGCCTGACCAACCTGATTAGCTTCTATGACGAGGTAACTGGCTCTGTGGATGTGGGAAAGTGATATACCTTGACTTTAGCAAGGCTTTTGATACAGACGTAAGAATCCCAAGCATAGTTACACGCTGGGGACCAACCAGCTAAGTAGTAGTTCTGCAGAAAAGGATCTGGGGGTTACAGTCGACGAGAAGCTGGATATGAGTCAACAGTGTGCCCTTGTAGCCAAGAAGGCTAATGGCATATTAGGTTGCATTATGAGGAGCATTGCCAGCAGATCCAAAGATGTCATTATTCCCCTTTATTCGGCTCTAGCGAGGCCACATCTGGAGGATTGTGTCCAGTTCTGGGCCCCCCACCACAAAAAGGATGTGGATGCATTGGAGAGGGTCCAGCGGAGGGCAACCAAAATGATTAGGGGGCTGGAGCATATGACGTATGAGGAGAGGCTGAGGGAGGTGGGGCTGTTTGGTCTGCAGAAACGAAGAGTGAGGGGGGATTTGATAGCAGCCTTCAACTTCCTGAAGGGCGGTTCCAAAGAGGATGGACAAAGGCTGTTCTCAGTAGGGACAGATGGCAGAACAAGGAATAATAGTCTCAAGTTGTAGTGGGAGAGGTCCCGGTTGGATATTAGGAAAAACTATTTCACTAGGAGGGTAGTGAAGCACTGGACTGGGTTGCTTAGGGAAGTAGTGAAGTTTCCATCCGTAGAGGTGTTTAAGTCTCAGCTTGACAAAGCCCTGGCCAGGTTGATTTAGTTGGGATTGGTCCTGCCTAGAGCAGGGGGCAGGACTTGATGACCTTCTGAGGTCTCTTCCAGCTCTATGGTTCTATGGACCCATATGAGGCTCCTGGACTGATGATGTAAAACAACATGTAAAAATGGAGGCTCTTGGAGCCCTTTACAATATTTTTTTAAAATTTCCTGAAGCCATATTCTGCCTTTTAAATAGCTTGAAATAAAAAAAAAATGAAAAAGAACATACCCTTATCTAGGATGTAATTGTAACTTCCTAGAGGCAAGTAATATAATATTAAAACATCAACAAGCTTTTACTAAAACTGCCAAACTCAGTAGACATCACCATATAATACAATGGCGGGTTATCTCGTCTCCTTTCTGAAAGAATACTGCACTTCCATATGCATCTCCCTTCTAAACACAGACCTTTTAAGTCCCCTCTTCCTCTTGGCACCAGAGTTCTGATAGAATAACTTAATTCCCTTACCTGCGATTTCACCCACTGTATCTGTTCTTACCTTCTTGAGGTTACCACACATTTTTCACTGCTGTCTGCCTCTTTTCCTTAGCTGTTCAGTTTTTGCCTAATATTAGTTTTCCTGCAATGTCATTCAACTCTTTTTCTACTCCGTTCCTCTTCCATTCACCTCCCTTTCCCTCATTTACATCCTTGCTCATTCATACATCTCTTCTATTTCTTCCCCACATCTCTCAATTTTTCCCCTCCTGGCATCCACCTTTATGCTAAGGCAGGATGGGGAGTTGAGAGAGCCATTTTGTTATCATTTCTTGCTAGACAGAGTGAGTGTGAGTGGAAGTAGAGTCCTTTCTTGCCCCTCTCCCATTAGAGATTGCAGTGATAGGGCTCCTAATTCTCTTCTGCAGCTGGAGAGCAGGAGAAGCTGGTGAAAGGCCTTATAAGAAACCTGGGTTCTTCCATCCTGCTGCTGCTCCACCTACTGTTAGAATGACTGGAAACCCAACACATTTTCCAGCCAGGCACTGGTCCTTTTCCAGGTGAGTCATCACTTTCATAGACTTATAGGATTGGAAGGGATCACAAGAGGTTATGTAGTCCAGTTCCCTAGACTCAAAGCAGGACTAAATATTATCTAGACCATCCGTGACGGGTGTTTGTCTAACTTTCTCTTTCAACCCTACCATGATTGAGATTCCACACCCTCTCTAGGCAATTCAATCCGTTGCTTAACTACCATGATGTTACCAGTTATTGAGGCAGTGAATGGAACCCGCACTGTACTCTGCCATGGAGCTGGGAAGAATAGCTAGCTTCTTTCATTTAGTAAGGAGAAAGTTACCCTCCCTTGAAGCTTCCCCTAATGTACATAAATTTAAACATGTGCTTTATGGGATGAATTAATTGTCTTTACAAGTTTTAATCTCTCTCCTTTGTTATGCTTATAAGAAGCACACAGGTTCTTTTTAGGGGAAAAGGCAAGATGCTGCATTTATTAAGAATACAATATCAAAGCAGCTAGTATATATTTCATAAAGACAAGCCTCCCTGCAGTACACGCAGGTCCTACAGATGGTGTATACTTACCATTCCCTTGTGGCTCCAGACAGTCTTGCTGACCAGTCGAGGCTGACTGAGTGAGGAGTCAGAGTCTTTCAATTGTGATTCGAGGCTCCTCTGAGGGTTGGCTTGCGGGACCAAACTCAGAATCTAATGGCAAAAGCCCTCCACTTTATACAAGTTGCATCTCTAAAAACTGGTACTCTCTGGTCCGACCACTGGTGCTCCTCAACCAGAGAGCCCCAAAGCCTAATAGCAGGAGAGCCATCAGCCTGACTAGGTCTGGGGCCAGTGGGGCCAGAGGAGCACTTCCAGAGTCTGGAGATCCCTGGCAGTCTGCGGCAGCATGGAACCGGGGGCTGGGGATCCCCAGGCACCCACTGCAGCATGGGACTAGCAACCGTAGAAGTCTAGGTACCTGCAGCAGTATGGGTTTGGGATCCAGTGAAGCCCAACTGCCTATGGCAGCCTGCGGCAGCACGAAGATGGAGAACCCCAACAGCCTGCAGTAATGCGGGGCTGGGGGCTAGAGAAGCTTAGCCACCCGTGGCAGCTCAGGGCTGGGGAAATCTGGCTGCATGAGGCAGTGCTGGCCGGGACTGGAGAACCCTGGTCACCAAAGGCAGCCCAAGGCCTGGGCCAGTGGCAGCAGGGTGGAGGAAAAGATAGAAGGGGCCCAGGGCCCATGGTAGAGGACGCCTCGCATGGTCCAGCAAATTCTATTGTTTGGAACCAGTTAGGTCCCGACTCTGCTGGACCAGGGAGGTCTAACCAGTACATGTAACTTCCCATTGAAATGTATGGGTTTTGTAGTGTCATGCTGCAATCCTCGATATGTTAATCTTGGTGCTTCCCCACAGTTATTCTTTCATGTCTGTGGTCAGCCTTCATTATCTCTTGTTTGTGGTCTCACTTTTGGGTGTGGCTGCCTGACTCCAGGGCTCTGCTATTCTGCTATCTTCTTCAGCCTTCATCCAGCCTCAGGCACCATAGATGTTCTTATCATTTCCAAGTGTCTCAAGTCTTTTTGACCATCTGGACCTGCCTGATGATATTTTCATATGCATTTGTAACCCCTCCTGTTGGCTAGCCCAGTGTGAGGTTATTCAGCATAGGGGAAGCTTGTGACTTCTTACACCACTGTGGGGGGAGGGCTAGGCCTGAGGCTGCTTGGTGTGCTCTGCGTTGCGTACGTGTGAGTGCACCTCAGACCAGACCCACTCCGACAAATCACCAGGAACAGGCTTTATTCTGTAAAAAACATAGAACAGGAAAACAGTTCAGCAGCCCCTTCTCTCAGCATGCAGCCTGTGTGCTGCTTCTAGCACAGTCCTTGCTGAGACCCTGCTGGGGGCAGAGGGCACATCCTGGCAGGAACCAGGAAGTTCTCCCAACATGCCGCAGTTTGTAGTCCACAACTTGTAGTTCCCAGGGCTGCTGCTGAAACACACTGGACCTTGGGCTACACATTCTTCACTCACAACAAACAATTTACAGAGCACTCCAGACAAAGGATTACATAGTTACTAAAGGAATAACCAAAAGAAGGGAATCATGCACAACTTAGTTTGTGATGCAGACAAGAGGTACAACTTAATTTGTAAGGCTACCAGGGAGCAAGACCGTACAGTAAACAATATGTAATCATGAGAGACAGGGTGAAATAGAAGCATGCAGAACTTGTAAGCAAGCCATCATACATCAAATTATACATCATACTTATTTTCTGATACCAATACTAAAATACTATATTTTTGCTACATCTTTATGTATTTTCTTAAGAAAAATATTTTAATTATTTAAATAGATTTTAATACACCCAGCTATAGGACAAGCTATTGGTTGAACAAGGAAGAAGTGAAGATTTGAGACTCTTTGCAGATCTAGCTTGTCATAAAAAGACCTAGTCAGAATACGAGGATTTAGAATCTCTCTTCAGTTGGTCTGTGAGATTAAAGGAATTTTTGTGGCTTTTAAGGAATCTTCTTGTTGATCTCCATGGGAGAAAGATACAGGGTTTGATTGAATTCATACTGAAATCAGTGTCTTTACATTAACTTGGGGTGCTAGATTAATTCTTGTTATAATGAATTCTTCAAGCACAATTCGGGCTTCATCCAAAAGCTAAGGGAAATATTCCATTGACATCAAGAGGCTTTGAATCAGGCCCGAGAACCAATGTTCCCTGTAAGCTGTGTGCTTGTGCAGCCACTCAGGAGAGATTTGAATGTCTCTCAGCTGATTAGTAGAGTGCCCACAACTAGGTTTTTGTTTCTACTGGGAGGCAGACATTTGCATGCTCCTCAATGCACATAGAAAAAATTATTCTTCACATGAATAGAAGAAATCTTCATATGGATGGAAAAGATTAGAGGGAATATTGCCAAGAATGTTCAACATAAAGTTGAAGTCATTATTAGTAATAATTCATTTCCATACAGAGCATAAACAATAGTTTGAAAGTGGCTAAAATGTTTGATAATAATTTGACTAAAGTTATTTAATATATATTCCATCATCTTGAAAATCACTGCATACAATGGCTGAAATTGGTAATTTGACCTTGCCAGCTATGGTGAAAAACAGTGCAGTTTTCCAAATGCATTCACATTTGCAGAGGACTGAATTAATTCCCTTCTGCAATCGATATTACAAAACTTTATTGTGGACTCTTAATTCATACATGCAGCCTCACTGGAAGCAAACATGAACAAATATTACTTGTGTGAGCAATGATTGGGCCATTTACTGAGATCTGATTCACTTATTTTATTTTTATAGTTCCTCTCACTATGATTTCTTTGTGTGATATTTATAGTGACAAAGCAACACATTACTATTTTTGAGAGGCCAAATCTTGGACTTCATAGTCTGGCAAAACTCTCTCTGAAATCTGTGGGAGTTTTGCTTCTTGCTTGACTGGATATTACAGAGAACAGTTTTGCTCAGTCTGATAATGTGAAAGCTCACGAAATAAAGAAGCACTTTCCAGTATGACTAAACTCTGAAATGCATGTCAAAATAGGTTTGTTTGTTTTTTTTAAATTACAGCTGGCATTTCTGAGATCCCTGCCCTTCCCTTGCTTTTCTTGGTGGTTGATCTAGGGCAGGGATGGGGACCCTTTTTGGGGCCAAGAGTTGACGACCCATAGAAAAATCAGTCTGCTGCACACAAGTGCAAAGAAAAAAAAAAGGAGAGTGACAAAGGGGGAAAAAAAAGACACTTTCTACATTCCCCTTGCATGCGAGAGCCTTGAGAGGCACAGGCTAGTAGATTTTGTGTGTTCTAGACCACAGTGAGGCAGTGAAAGGGCTGCAGTACAAGCATAGGCTCCCGGATGCTGGGGTGGAAGTGTGGGGAGCTCTGTGCCTCGAGGGCCAGATCCATGCTGGCCTTAGGTTCCCCATCCCTGGTCTAGAGGTTTATTTTGCATCTGACAAAGTGGGTCTTTGCCCACGAAAGCTTATGCTCTAATAAATCTGTTAGTCTGTAAGGTGCCACAGGACTTCTCATTGTTTTAACTTCACAAAATATAGCTCAGCCATTGCTACGTAATGTATGTTAGTTATCACAGGCCCCTGACTTAACAGAAAGAGCAAGAGTATTTTCTTCTGAATTTTCTATCAAGGAGCTTTGGCTGAACCTTTGTTCTACCTGCTGCAAATCCCAGTGTGTAGGTATAGTTTACTTTTGGATGGAGGACAATTCCATAGGCTGAACCTGGGAATTTTCCATGTATTATTCCCTCAGTGTTGCTTAGGGATTAAGATTCTGGATGCTGTCTTTTCTGTCCATTAGATCTTGGAGAACTGTGAAGAAAGGAATCCCTTTTACACAGAGATGAGCAGAGAAGGCTGCTGTTTCACTGGTATTGTTCCCCAGGCCACTGCAAATTCTCCAGAAGCTGTACCTTGCTCCTGCAACTGCTTGGTACTAGAAAGGACTCTGGAGGAGATCATACAAATCCAAGCTGCATTCCCTGCTGCTTTGATTTGTGCTTGGAAATCAAGGACACAATAGAGGATGCTGACACTCCATTGTACCTCTTTCCCATTGCTTTTCCTTCTGCCAACACTGCTTCCCTGTGGGTCACTCATGGAGATGTATCCAGAGAGTCAGACGATGGTACTGCTGGGGCCAGGCTGTCTGTCCAGATTTTCAGGAGATGATCTGAGTATGGCTCAACCTTAGTGCCCATGGGAGTTTTGCCTAAGTAGAGATGGTTAAAAGCTAATATAAACAGAAGCGAAATGTAGCCATTTGCAGTGTACAGCAACAAAAATTGAATTGGTCCTATGGAACCCTGGAAACATATTCTTGCACAACCTCTACAGGAATAGACTAGATAGTTACAAAGCACTCCTATAATAGGGTCTGCAGGATTTGACATAATACTGAATAAAGCAATTTAATGTGTGTTATGATGCAAAGCACTGACTATTTTGTTGAAATGGTTTGTTTGTTTGTTTTTTTATTTTA